CCATTAGCTAAAGTGGTGCTTCAGGTTAAGAACAGTTTCAGGTTAAGAACGGACCTCCGGAACGAATTAAGTGCTTAACCCGAGGTACCACTGTATTTTCATTCTGGCAATATGATCCAATACATCCCGTTGATGTGCCAGGATGCAAACTGGTTTGTGACGTGGCAGCAGCAGAATAGGGCAAATAGGGGGAAGCCATCCATCTGGGCTCCATTTTCCAGCATAACTTTGAATTGTTCAAAAGCATAGGCACAGACAAGACTGCAGCCATTGATCTTTCTGATGGCTGTTTGTTTGCAAAAGTTTAGGTTATTAAAACTTGAATTTCACTGACGTCTTGTCAGTGAAACTTTAGAGTTTTGATGCTTGAAACTCTCAGCCAAGTCTAGGGAGTGTAAGTGTGAAATTTGGTTTCTCTGGATCTCTGAAAGCGCTGCACATTAGTGTGCGTAATTTTGAAATTCTCCCTCTCCCCTTTCCTCTTCTGTTAGCCCTTCTTGAAAGCAAAGCAAGTGGTCTGGTTCAAGGCATTCCAAAGCAGCCATGAATCAAAGGGCTTAAAAAGTGGTTTTTCCTAGCGACATGTCGTTTATTCAGTACAGAGGCATGTCCATCAAGCCTTAACTGCAACAGAAGGACTTGTTTATTTTATCTGAGAAACAGACATGCAGGGAAACCCTCAGTTAAGACAATATATTGCAGAGTTTATTCCAACAAACACAAAGGATACACACAGCAAAGCAATCCATATCTGCAAAGTGTAAGTTAAATACAGATCTCGTATGATCTTTCAAAGAAACTGGATTTAAAAATAGTCACATATATACTATCCACAAATAAATGAATGTACTGTGCAGCCTTTTTTTTTGGCGGTGGGGGGTGGGGAAGGTAGCAATCTGGCTAAAGCCCAAAACAAACAGAAAGCAATTCAAAGGGTTGCTTCCAGATGGCCCATTTATTGAACATTCATTGGGATTTCTTTGTTCAAAGTTTGCAAGGAGTTTATATGATATTGTCTATTTCTTGAGCAAACTCCTCTGAAATTGTTTCTTGAGCAGGTTACATAACATTGCATCAAGCAATTGTTAGGCCACACCTTCCAGTACATTTTCCTGGCACTTTCCTTATTGTAAAAAGTCCAGTATTTATTTATTTATTAGTATGTTTGTTGTGCCAGCGTGTGGAAAACGGCTTCAAGTGCACATCCAGAATCAGCTGGCATGCGATTGAATGCTACCTGCAAATCAGCAACAGCTCTAGCCCAGTATCTTCTTCAGGGAAGTAAAAAGGTAAAGGGACCCCTGACCATTAGGTCCAGTCGTGACATCTCGCTTTTATTGGCCGAGAGAGCCGGCATACAGCTTCCGGGTCATGTGGCCATCATGACTAAGCCACTTCTGGCGAACCAGAGCAGCGCACAGAAACGCCGTTTACCTTCCCGCTGGAGTGGTACCTATTTATCTACTTGCACTTTGACGTGCTTTCGAACTGCTAGGTTGGCAGGAGCAGGGACCGAGCAACAGGAGCTCACCCCGTCGCGGGGATTCGAACCGCCGACCTTCTGATTGCCAAGTCCTAGGCTCTGTGGTTTAACCCACAGCGCCATCTGCGTCCCCTTCAGGGCAGTACTGTAGCTCAATGGAACAGCATTTGCTATGCATATTTAAATCTAATCATGAGAAAGGCACTGCCAGGCCCTAGACCATACTTCACCAACCAGGTATCCTCCTGATGTTTGCACTGCATCTCCCATCAGCCCCAGCAAACATCCGAAGGGCACCAGGTTGGTGAAGCCTGCATTAGAGAATACAGAGGTAGCTGAACCAGCAGTCTCTCTCCATCAAAGCTTGCTTTATGTTTAGTGCTGTGCTGAGCCAGTACTCCAATTGCTGCATAGTTTTCTCCCCCTTCAGAAGAGCCTTCTGTTTTTCTGAGTCATTCACAGGGCACTTTGGCATTTTGGGGGGATGCGGGTCGCTCTGTGGTTTAAACCACTGAGCCTCATGGGTTTGCCCATTGGAAGGTCGGCGGTTCGAATCCCCGCGACATGGTGAGCTACCGTTGGTCTGTCCCAGCTCTTTCTAACCTAGCAGTTCAAGAGCACGCCAGTGCAAGTAGATAAATAGGTACTGCTGCGGCGGGAAGGTAAACAGCGTTTCCGTGTGCTCTGGCTTCCGTCACGCTGTCTCGTTGCACCAGAAGCAGTTGTTTAGTCATGCCGGCCACATGACCCGGAAAGCTGTCTGTGGACAAACACCGGCTCCCTCGGCCTGAAAGCGAGATGAGCGCCGCAACCCCATAGTCGCCTTTGATGGGACTTAACCATCCAGTAGTCCTTTACCCTTTTTTTTTTTTAACTTTACTTTAGCATTTCTTCTTAATTTTAGAGGTGCAGGCTTGAGCTTATTTATCCCAGCACTCTTAACAGCTACAGTTCCCATGAATCTTTGAGGGAGACCATGACTGGTTAAAGTGGTCTAATGCTGCTTTAACTGTGTGGTGCAATTTAGAGCCCCTCATTTAAATAGATGAAAAGCCAATTGTTCCCTGGGTGCCTAGGGTAACATTTCAGCAATAATAATAATAATAATAATAATAATTTATTTCTGCCCCACCCATCTGGCTGGGTTTCCCAGGTTCTAGGTGGAAGAACAGTTTGTGAGAAAAAGCTTCCCATCCTGTGTGAATACCTGAAGGCCTACGTTAGGAATTCCTTAACTAGGAAACATTGTTGTCTTTGAATAAAAGGATCCGTGGTGGGACAGAACCATCCTTCAACACATCTCTGTGATTAAAAATAGACCAGCCTCTTTCTTGCCACTGAAACACGTAGATGACCTCCCCTTCTGCTGCCCTCCCCGTCTGAGTGTCCTCCTGATTTCAGCCTGCAGCAAGCTTGTACCAAACTATTGAAGGAAAAGCTGAAGGTCTCCTCAGACTGCTCTCATTGTTTGTATATAATCTTTATTCTGCTCCTGGGTACTTAGGCAAGGGCTGTGTGGGGTGGAATACTAATAAAAGCAACCAGTTTTAAATCGTAGGAACAATTCCGGAAACTTCGGCTGTGGTTAAAACTTAGTGACAGGTGTGGTGAATGGGAAGGAGCAGAAAAAACAAATCCAACAGAAACCTGTCCAGGCCTTTTATATCTCCACCCCCCTTCCACCCCAACCTGATGAGGGAGAGTGGAGATGGGCAAACTAGTCTTGACCCGCCTTCACTGTCCTGGTGCCCTCCATCAGTTGGATAAATGACTTCTGCAGCAGGAAGCCTTTTTGACCCATGTAGCAAATGTTAGAACCCAGTTTTCCAGAGTTCTAAAATGGGTGGGCATTCTGTGTGAGCTGAGCAGGCTCCTTCTTCCAGGAACTCATGGAGGAGGATGCCAGGTGGCTGGAACATTCATCTTTGCTCTCCCCTCATCGCATATGGGATTTAAAGTAATTTTTCCACTCGGTTCTTCATGTTTGCGCATCAATTTGCAGATTCTCATGAAAACGTACCAGCATTTTAGTGTTTGTATGCACTTTTGGGCAGTGTACACATTTTGCAAAGCAATTTCCAATCATATAATTCATTTTAAATGTTATTTTTCACGCATGTATTCATGTTTATGCACATTTTGCCCCAGTACAAGTGTTTCTGTGCACATTTCCTGGCTGGAGAACTGCATTTCAAACTTTGGAGAAGTGGGACTTTCAAAGGAGGGCTGTGTTTTGGTTTGTGTATTGTTTCAGGAAGTGTGAATTAAGAAAATGGTGGCATAAGTTTTCTTGTAAGAACTTATGGATTTTTGGATGTATGTATGTTTTTCCTCTTGCTTTTACTTTATTATTTTTGTTAACTTTTTGTGTGTGTTTGTGAAGTAAGAAAACTAATAAAAAGCGTGTGCGTGCGCGCACGCACATGCATATGTATATGCATGTATATATACATATACACACATACAGTACTGTTCCGTGTACAAGACTAGGTTTTTATACTCTAAAATAATGTTTAAAATCAGTGGTCGTCTTATACATGGATATAAGTCCCCTCATTTTCTTAAATCAGAGTCCCCCAAAATAGGGGGGCAGCGTCTTATACATGGGGGCATCCTATACACAGAAAAATACAGTGTGTGTGTGTGTGTGTGTGTGTGTGTGTGTGTCTCTCTATTTATTTATCTCTCTATCTATCATCTCTATCATCTATCTATATAGTGTGAATTAGTCTGGGTTGCCTTTAAATGCATACTGAATCAAATCCTCTCCATCCCTAGTTCTCCCTTTTTATTGGACTACAGTGCCCATAATCCTTGACCATGCTAGTTGGAACTGATGGGATTTGGAGTCCAATAAACCTGGAAGGCCAAAAGTGCCTCATCCCTGCCAGAGATGATTGTCAGAGGTGTGCCTGCGTCTCTCGTGATCCAATTGACTTTATGCTTCAAGTGACTGTGACGTGCAGTCAAACGATGGACCTGCATTGATAGCATTGCCTATATTCATTGGGAAGCATAACACAGAATCCTCCCCACTATTAAATTTATAAAATATACCAAAAGAAGTTTTTGAATTTTACCATGAACCTTGGTTCCCACCCTGGTTGTCATCAGTTTGAACTTGGAAATGACATCATTGTGAAATGCCACAGGAGTCCCTCAGTGATACAAATATTATTAAAAAGATAAGATGACCTGCACAAGAAATCTAAGCGAGTTCTGCTGGGCATGGTGCCCACTTGCAACCGTTCAGCTGGTGCCACTTGGAATGAATGATCAAGTAGCAGCAGAATGTTGCGTCTTGTCTGGGGTTTTGTTCCACTCTGCTTGGCCTGTGTGTGTGTGTGTGTGTGTGTGTGTGTGTGTGTGTCTTTTTTTGTGGGGTGTGGTGGCACCAAGCTGAGTTTGTGTATGACCTGGGTCAGCTGTCTTTCAAACATGGCAGGGATGTTGCTAGTGCGGTAATATCCTCTTAGTTTTTGGGCAGAATGAAGAAAGATCAACGAGAGAGAGAGCATTTCTTTTCCTCGGCGTTTTATTCACTTATAACAGAAACATTCACTTATCAGGTATCACTGAAGTGCAATTTACAGAACTTAGCAGCAAATTCACATCTGTAAATTCAGATTTAATTCTGTTTGTACAAATCTTACAAATGTACATCCATTCGTACAGTATTGCCATTCACTCATGCTCGCGTATGTACATTGTCTTCCCTTTAGAATATCCTCACGAGTCATTCTCCCTTGCTTCAGGAAATGCAGAGGTGGTGCTGAGCAATGGGTTTTGTCAGAATGCATCAACAGAGCATCGCACGGGGGAATCAAACTTGGGGGCCGTGGAGTCAAACAGAAAGAATCCTTTGGGGCTTTCAATGGAGTTAACAAACATAGCCCACAGAATTTTGCCACATTTCTTGTTAATTTGGTATTTCTGCAGTATTGGGCTGCTCTGCCCAGAGAAGATCCCGGGAGTGGGTGGGTGGGAGATTAACACAAAGGGTGAGTAAACTCGGAAAACACCACAAATATTTTTCAGGGCCTATTATATGGGGCATTTTTGTAGGTGTCCAATTGGGGCAAGGGGTTGTGCTGCAGAAATCCAGAGGCTGTTTCAAACCTCTACTTTTCATAGAAGTTTGCTGGAGCCATATAAACATTTGAGAGCTCTGATTTTCTTCAGGCCTCATATGATATAGTTCCCTTTGCACTCACCAAAATTCACATTATAACAGAAAGTCCAGCGAGGCGCTGGATGAAAGCCAGCTTCTGCGAAGGTAAGGGCAAGGAAAGGAAGTGGGTTTAGAATTCTGCTTTGTTTGCTGTGCTGTGCCAATCATGGGACTGTCATGTATGCGCTCAAGCATGTGCAGAGTTCCAGCTTCTTTATTTTTAATTATTTTGCACTACCTACTAAGTACTTCTATAATGCCCTTCAATATGCTGGCCTGTGTGGGGAATAACTTTGGGTTCTTTATAAAGAGGGGGGAAGTAAATCACTTCAGATCTTTCTCCTTGCTGGAAAATCCTTTTAGGGGGAAAAACAGCCCTTTATATTTTATTTTCTCTCCCCCCCACTTCCCTTTGTAACAATGATCTGTTAAGGCATAAGAGAATGCAATGAAATCTCTTAATGACACTGTTCTATTTTTCCTTTACTCTCTGCTTTGCTTAGTGTTCAAATCTGAAGGATTTTCCCTTCTTTTTTGTATATTTGTTCTTTCTCCTCACCATAATTGTTGCTTAGAAGGTCTTATGTTTATCTCTCTAATTTGGGAAGTTGTCTATTTGTAATGCCTTACAGTGACACTACATGGCGAGACTAATACAATTTTATCTATATTTTTAATGTATATGTTATGCAAAGAGATTTGGCATACAGGCTGTTCTTTTAAAGGCCCCTGTTTGAACCTTATACCCCGGGCTCCATGTTTATCATACTAAGAGAGCTGGTGTTATCAGGAGTCAAATCTCCTCTCAGTCATGAAACTCACTGGGTGACCTTGGGCCTAGCTCTCTGCCTAACTACCTCACAGGGTTGTTGTGAGAAGAAAAGGAGGAGAGGAAGAACCATGTATGCAGAACCTTGATCTCCTTGGAGGAAAGGAATGGGCATACATGTAACAGTAATAACAGCATCAAATCTTTTCCTTCGATGAATGCTTATTCTGCACTACACATCAGTGGTGACTTAACTTTTTTTTTTGAAAATTTTATGAGGGTTTTTGATGGACTGAGGCAGGTCAGTGCGTCCCACTGTGTTTGTGTTTATGTGAAACTTTTCATTCCATCAGCATGTGAGCCCTGTGATGAAAGTTTCCTCAGTGTGCCATTTTTCTACACTTAAGTACTCTTGCTTAATAGGTGAGCTGGAGCCAAATTATTGTATTGTGAATGTCTTTTTTGGGGGGAGAAACTGAATTTAATGCTTAAAAAAAAAAATAGCAGAGAGAATCCTTTAATCTTTTTTCCTGTTCTTGGTTTGACCTGCTGCTTTGAGAGAACAGTGCCACAGAGTTATTACGGCCTTGTAAGGTCAAGACTTGAGTGCCTGCTCATATCTCAGCACAGATGGGCACGTTCTGAGTAGAAAACCTTGATGGAGAAATGTAATATGCTAGGACTTCAAATAAACTCCCTCCCCACCCCCAGATGTTCTCTGTAAATGTCAGGAAAAGATGGGCTCTACACCCTACACACACTTTGTGTGTGTAAAAACTAAAGTGGATGAAAGAACAAAACAGGCAAGATTGACATTTATTTCTCAGTGGCTTGTGCTCTCTGTTGAACATGTGGCATCCCAGGCTATGAGAGACTATTTAGAATGGCAAAGCATCACAAATCCTTTGAAGTTCAGAGATAGAAAATAGGTTAATTTCTGCCTGGGAATTTCAAAAATCCAGTATTTTGTATTGTTTTTCTTTCACAATAGGGGATTATCGTCAAGAGCCGAGAGGTGTGCAGTTTGATGAGGAAAGAGAAGGGGGAGTAATGCTGTGTCCAGGAGCTCCCAGAAACCTGGTCCCAGCTCTCCTTTTTCCCATTTACTTCTTAATCTCCCTGCATAGAAAATTAGTATGGTTTGAATGTCCAAGGTTTTTTTTGCTTGTTTTTTTGTTGTTGGGGGGGATGAGTGGGAGCATTCAAACATGTGATAGCCACATGCTTTCCTAACCATGTGATTTCCCCAAATATGTACAGGCCCTCAATGACGCTAAAGTCCTATTACAATTCAGTGGGGTTCAGGCTGCAATCCTCTACACATTCACTTTGGAGTAAAGTACCACTGGTCAATGGGGTTTACTTCCTAGCCAACATGCATAAGGTCAGGCTGCATAGGACACAGGTCATTGGAGAAATTCCATTCATTCCATAGTCTCCGTCTATAATCTTTGAGAATTCTAGGAAAACAGACAAGGCCCCCACAAACTGGAGGTGGACAAAAGTTGTCCCCATCTTCAAAAAAAGGGGGGAAAGACCCAGGTAACCATTTTCTCTGGATTCTGACCCAAATCTCTCTTTCCCTACTGCACCCCACAAATCTAGGATTAAGGGCAAAATGCTTTCCAGACCAAATTAACGACTTTTTGAAAGGCTTAAGGCCTGTTACACCTTATTTTAGAAATGGAGCATTTTCTATCCTAAAATATCATTAGTATCCATTCCTAACTCATTAAAGCAATTCAGATCTTCTACTATTTCTACTCTAAGGAAATTTTTTTGGTAGTTAATATGGAATGTATTATTTTTTTGAAAACATTTCTGTAAGGGGAAGAGTTCTTTTTATTTTTAGTCTTTAAAAATTCTAGTTTATCACAATCATATCATTTGTACAAGACACTATAGATACATCTTGTAATTTATAATCTAAAAAATAAAAATTTCATCAAAATAGTGTAGCTATTACTATTGCCTGGGCATTGATGCATGGATGTATTTACTGAATATGGCTAGTTTTACCGGCGAAAAGGAAGAAAGTATAGCATAAAGGAAATTCAGTGGGGGAGGGCAGTGAGAATGAGCTATGTGCTTGTGTTTGAAAAGTATTGGATAGCTCTAAGAAAGGACACTAAGACAGGTCACAGAGAAGTAGCAGCTTGTTAAATATATACACATTTCATGAAAACCACAAGGTTAAAAACAAAACAGTGGTGGTATACCCGCAAATCCTGTCATTTGCAAAGACAAAAAAACAAACAAAACAAAACCCAAAAACAAAACTACAATTGGGGTAGAGGTTAATTCTGGAGTTGCTTAGATTTTCTATAATGTTTCTCTTTGGGCATCCTAAGTAACATTTCTCATGTATCAGAGGACTGCTGTACTGGCAAATTAGGGACCATTTGCACATTGCACATTTAAGAGTGTGTCCTGACTTATGCGACTATTTCACATGTTGCAAAATAACTTCATGTGACGCACTTGGTCTGTATTCACATGGAGAAAGAACCACTGGTGTCTCTCTTTTCAGCCAGCGCAATTACGGGAACTGGGGAGCTATGGATGTTTCTGAGAGTTTGGTTCACAGGATGTTGTCCTCCATGAAATTGTGTCTGTGCAGATGTTACAGTTTCATCCAGCAGAAAGGGGCTGCTAGGCTTGTTTGCTTGTTTTTGGCATACTTTATTCTGCGTCTTGGAAAGGTGATCAGAGCTGCTGTTCAGGCCAGCAGAAGCCCCTTTCCCTGATAACAGATGACTCTGCCCATCTCTGCTGGGTTTTAAGATGTTAGTGGACACTGATCACACTTTCGAGCCTATGTTCATAGATGCAGGGGCTTAATATTTGTTGTATTTTTATCCGTTTGAATTATCCCAACCCTTTAGACACAAATACACACACTCACACACTCACACACACAAACACAGAGAGAGGGCTTTCCTCTTGTGTTTCAGTGCAAACGGTGACCTTCTGTGGCGTCCTGATTCTAAAAGTTACCTGCATGTGTTTGCTACCTAGAAAAACCTCTCATTCTCCAATGTTAATTATTGCACTAACGATGAAGGGGAACACGGCAGGGTTTTTCTTTTTTTGTTTTAGCTAGAAGCGGGACCTGCTGTTGCCCGAAATGCAGGTGCCAGTTGGATAATTACAGTGATCTGTAATGTGCTACGAAACAAGGAACAAACAGTGAAGGTCATTTTTGTAACCTGGGCTTTGTACATCCTTGAGGAAGGAAGAAGGGTATGCAAAAGCAGTTTCCTAAAGTCAAGTTCAGTGCATTAATCAGAACATAATCTTATACTTAATGCATTGTTAGGATTTCCAAATTGAGATGCTTCTACCGGAGGTAAGTTTGGGACAGCATCCGTCACGCAGCCAGCTCTTGCGGTCCTCTCCTGCCCTTCTCTCCATCTTCAGTCAGCTTGATGGGGTCACGGCACAGAAGTGCCAAATGATTCACACCGTTAGCGGGAACTGATCTTGCTCCGGGGGCTTTTTCACCCAGGTGCCCAGACCGGCTTTCTGAAATGCTTTGAACAGCTGCTGCTTGACAGACTGGTATGTGTGCGCCAGCAGTTTGGCCTCGCTGTACACAGAGGGCAGATCTCCATGGCTTAATATCTGTGTGCTCAGCTGTAAGAGAGATGGGGTAGGGTGGGGGTGGGGGTGGAAAGCGGGGGGGAAAATCCAAAACAACCCAAAATGCAAATGAATGAACAGCAGCTGTACAAAATGGTTCTGTAAGCTACAAACAAATTGTGCTTAAGATTTTACGTGTTGGTTTCAAGTAACAATGGAAAGGGTTGAGAACCGAAAACTGGACATGATATTGACTCCGTCATGCAGGCTTAGTGCCAACAACCTACAAAAAACACTGTCCTGAGTGAGAAGCAGGATTTTGGAGATCAAAAACATAGTTTATACACCACTTGGAAGTGTGAACTGCAGTGCAGAGACTATAAATTATACCAGGGTTTTGGGTTTTTTTGCTTTCCTTTTTTTGTGGCGGAAGGTCTTACTAAATAAAGTAATAATAATAATAATAATAATAATAATAATAATTTATTATTTATACCCCACCCATCTGGCTGGGCTTCCCCAGCCACTCTGGGCGGCTTCCAAAAGAATATTAAAATACTGTGATACATCAAACATTAAAAGCTTCCCTAAAAAGTGAAAAGAATGCAACCCCCCCCACTGTGCATTGTTGTGTTCCTTCTGAATGGGTCTCCCTTAGCTTCTGGGAAGGGACCAGGGGATTTTGGTGGCCAAACTCTTCCTGTTAGTGTGCATGAAAGGAGAGCAAAATTGAGAATCTTGTGGATTTATTTGGTGCTATTCATCCTCCCCGACCCCAACAAATATAATTCAAGTCAAAATGTTTCACCCAGATTTGAAGAAAGGTGTATTACCGCTTTTTAATATTATGTATAACTGCCAAAGTTGGGACGCGGGTGGCACTGTGGGTTAAACCACAGAGTCTAGGACTCTGTGGTTTAACCCACAGTGGTCAGCGGTTTGAATCCCCGTGATGGGGTGAGCTTCCGTTGCTCAGTCCCTGCTCCTGCCAACCTAGCAGTTCGAAAGCATGTCAAAGTGCAAGTAGATAAATAGGTACTGCTCGGGCGGGAAGGTAAATGGCGTTTCTGTGAGCTGCTCTGGTTCGCCAGAAGCGGCTTAGTCATGCTGGCCACATGACCCGGAAGCTGTACACCAGCTCCCTCGACCAATAAAGCAAGATGAGCACCGCAACCCCAGAGTCAGCCACGACTGGATCTAATGGTCAGGGGTCACTTTACCTTTACCTTTATAACTCCCAGATCATATCCTAGGTTAATATTCACTGGAGCAGAAGTCCCCACAATATGAACTTTGACTATGCATTTAAGAGCCAACCATTTCCCAAAGCCCTGGGGCTCATGCATAGGCCTCAGCCCCAACTGTCTTTGGGGGGAGATACAGATTCAAACCCTGCAGCCCAGATTCATAAACCTGACATTCCTATAATGTCTTGTCAGCTCCCTTTGGCTATATCTTGACATGAGATATACAGTGATATACTTGACATGAGATATACTTGACATGAGCCAACAGTGTGACGCTGCAGCTAAAAAAGCCAATGCAATTCTGGGCTGCATCAATAGGAGTATAGCATCTAGATCAAGGGAAGTAATAGTGCCACTGTATTCTGCTCTGGTCAGACCTCACCTGGAGTACTGTGTCCAGTTCTGGGCACCACAGTTCAAGAAGGACATTGACAAACTGGAACGTGTCCAGAGGAGGGCAACCAAAGTGGTCAAAGGCCTGGAAACGATGCCTTATGAGGAACGGCTAAGGGAGCTGGGCATGTTTAGCCTGGAGAAGAGGAGGTTAAGGGGTGATATGATAGCCATGTTCAAATATATAAAAGGATGTCATATACAGGAGGGAGAAAGGTTGTTTTCTGCTGCTCCAGAGAAGCGGACATGGAGCAATGGATCCAAACTACAAGAAAGAAGATTCCACCTAAACATTAGGAAGAACTTCCTGACAGTAAGAGCTGTTCGACAGTGGAATTTGCTGCCAAGGAGTGTGGTGGAGTCTCCTTCTTTGGAGGTCTTTAAGCAGAGGCTTGACAACCATATGTCAGGAGTGCTCTGATGGTGTTTCCTGCTTGGCAGGGGGTTGGACTCGATGGCCCTTGTGGTCTCTTCCAACTCTATGATTCTATGATTCTATATCTGAAATCCCAACATTTAGCGGGACAACCGTGGAGACTGAAACATTTCTTTGAATACCAAAATTGAGTCTTAAAGGCCGAAGTTCTGATTCTGATCCAATTAATTATGTGTCTGCGCAGGAGTTGGCTGCTGTGGGCATAGCTCCTGCTGCTCAAAAGCCCTTCCAGCAGTCAACGCTGTCTGTGTGCAGGCCCCACTCACACCATGAGCAATAAGAACAGAAGAGGAGAACTGTTGGGTCAGGCCAAAGGCTCATCTAATCCAGCATTTTGCTCTAAGCACAGCCAGCCAGATGCTTAAGGGAAGCCCACAGGAATGACCCGAGTGCAGCTCTCCCTGCCTGTGATTCTCAGCCACTGGCTTTCAGGGGCATAATGCCTCTGGTAAATGGAAGGAGAATACAGCTGTCATGGCCAATAGCCACTGATAGCCCTACCCTCCAATATTTGTCTAATTCTCCTTTAAAGCCACCCAGGTTGTTGGACTTTGTATCTGAGTGTATACCAAGATCACCACTTCGTTCTTCATTCACCTGGGGTATGGGCTGGGAGGAGAAGGATTCCCTAGTCAAGGGGAGGGTTTTCAAATGCATATCAAACTAACCACACTCACCCTTGAGGGCAGCAGGATCTAGACTCAATCTAGATTGAAAGCAGCATGTTGAGGATGTACATGAACTGTTCTGGATTGAGAAAAACTACCTTTTTGTAACAGGTTAGCATGTGCACAGCCTAAAATAGTTATTAATGTATTCTACTCTCTCTCTCTCTTTTTAAAATGTTTATATGGTTTTATAGTTGGAGGTGATAATTATTTTTTTTAAAAAAATAAATAAATAGCCTTCTACACAAGCTCTGAAAAGCAAGGAAAAAAGGAAAGACTCTCTGAGTCATTCAAGGCTTCAGGCAGGCCAGTTTGAGAGAAAATGCAAGGAAAAATCAGCTCCCTTCCTTCCAATCTGTTATAATAAGAGATACTGTGAAACATGCCTAAAAGAGGGCTGTAATCGAGCATCTGGGATTTGCCCACAGCTGAGAGGCTGTCTTGTTGAGCGGGAGAATGGCATCTGAATGTTCTGAAATGCTCACCACCTCTGAGTTTGCCTGCCAGAAACCGTCTTAAGAGACAAAGACACACATCCTCAGTCCAATAATCACCCCGGGCGCACCTGGGCACCCAGAGAGAAAGAACTTTTTGTTTTGCAGGAGGATTAAATCAATCGCCTCCTTCCTGACCTGCCAAAAGACATAGCGCAACCAAGCCAAGAGTGAGAGAATTTGGTGTTTTGGGAAAGGAATCAGAAGTCTTGGGAGAGCCGTAGACCTGGGGAAAGTTCAATCCGGCGAGTGAATTAGCATTTTCTGTGGGATTCTGTTCCCACTACTCTGGAATATGAGCCTGTGTACAAAGGGGCATTTTCCACGATTGCAACAGCAGTACAGAATGCCCTTTCCCTCTGCCATAAATGAAGCAAACTTGATCCAAACTTCTTGTAAAGGCGTATCTTTTTTCTTAGATTTCCCTCCTGTCCCATAAGAATAGATGTGGTTATTACTGAATTCCTGTTTTGATCTGTGTTTTTTTTTTATAATAGTGTTTTACTAGTTTTTATATTGCATCTCTGTTTTTATGCCATAGCATAAAAGCAATAAAACACAGTATTTTTGTATATTGCTTAGAGATGGTTTAATTATGAATCAGGATAGAAATGCTTTTAATATATATATGACATGTCAAAGGCGAATGGGGTGAATTATTTGCCACTTCGCTTTTCTCTGATGTCACCAATAAATGTATCCTATTCAAATCTGGCACAATATTTGCAAATTGTATTTTGCCCTTGAGCATGTCTACTTGGAACACACACTCTCTTACTGCCAAAAGTCCCATGCCAACGCAGATCTTCAAGGGCTTACATCATTTCAGGAAGTTGATTGGCAGAAGGCAAAAAGTACATACTACTTTCCTCAACTACCATGCACAGGCAGGCCCTGATATGTGAACACAATGCGTTCTCAGGAAATGGTCTGTTAGGAAGTGTTTGTACAACAACACCCACCCTCCTCCAGCAGATGTCAAGGAGATGAGTAACTATACAACTTTTTGAAGACATCTGAAGGCAGCCTTGTATAGGGAAGTTTTTATTGTTTGATGTTTTATCATGCTTTTTATATGTGTTGTAAGCCGTCCAGAGTGGCTGGGACAACCCAGTCAGATGGGCAGGGTACAATTATTATTGTTGTTGTTGGCATTTCCCATCAATTCCAATGGGAAAATTTCTAACGTGTTCCCAAGCACAGGCTTTTGATCCCCAAATAGTGAAAAAAGCCAGGGGAAACCCTCTGGAACCTTGCAAAAGGCAAACAAGAAAGGGAAAGAATGCTCTTATTTGTCTGATCTATGCCCCTGTCTCCACCACCCACCATGTTTTCTGACAAAACCGCTGCCCTGGACCAGGAAAACACAAAAAGTGAGGCGTGTTTAAGACTGCTTATTTGTTTACAGTACTACATGCAGGTCCAGCTGTTTGGATATCTGAATTGGTGGTGTGTTGGATAAGTGAATTATCGTGTTTTATAATGAGCGTTTGAATAGTCCTGCCTTGAATAGCCCTCATGCCCTGCTTATTGGCTTCCCAGAAGCATCTGCCTGGCTGTGACTGGAAATAAGATACCTGACTAGATGAACCTTTGACTTGATCCAGCAGAGCTCTTGGAAGTGTGTTAGGGCTCCTCCAGATCACCAGATTATTGCATATTCTGGATTTTTATTACTTCTCCAAAATACTTAAATTTTTTGGTACTCAGATAAGCTAAGTTCAATATGTGCTACTGCCTTTCAAGTGTGCATGTTGCATTCTACTTAAAAATACACGTGTTAGTGGTTATTAGACTGGATCAGATCCTCCACTTGTGGTTATTAGACTGGATCATACCTCATGTTACGTTTGCTTCAGGTTGAGCGTTTTCAGGTTGCATCCCGCGACGACCCGGAAGTACCAGAAAGGGTTACTTCCAGGTTTCACCACTCGCGCATGCGCAGATGCTCAAAATGATGTCACGTGCATGCGCAGAAGTGACGAATCGCGACCCGCGCATGCGCAGACGCAGGTTGCGTTCTGCTCATGTTGCGAATGGGCCTCCGGAAAGGATCCCATTCGCAACCAGAGGTACCACTGTATATATAAACACCTTCCTCTTTCTTTCTTTCTTTCTTTCTTTCTTTCTTTCTTTCTTTTTCTTTTCTTACACACACAAACACACACACACACAGAGATTCTCTGCCCCGCATACTTGCTGGGCACCACATGTGTTTTGGACTATGATCGATATCCGAGTACAGAGTCTGCTGTAGGAAATGGTGCTTTGCTGATGATACGAGGCCAGGGAGATGGCTGGGAATGCTATATTGTGATGGACACATAGGTTTGCTTTCACCAAGGCAGGAGTCCTTACCTTTCCATAAAGCTTTGCCCATCGAGTGTAAAACAGGTGCTTGCAGAGTCGTGAAGGACTCCCGCAGTTCCTTTTTCCTGTTGTTGCATTAATAAGCTCGAGGTCTGTAGTGCCCGCTATCCAATTCACACTGAAACCAGGTGATTTCCCTGACTGCCGCATCTTGGCGTTGCTCACTCCTGTCGAAGGGGAAGCAGAAAACATCAAAGCATTAAGATCAATAGCCCCTACCTTGCTCCTCCTGGAAGATAGGAAATGGAACTTTCTTTTTTTACTAGGAAATGAATTCCATTTCCACATAAACTTATTCTCATATTTTGACGGGATTGGCTCCAATCTGCCAAATCTTATAGGTCAGAATTGTTGTGGTTGTTGCGTGTGTGTGTGTTTCAAGGTGTTTTGAGCACAACTCTTTCTGGTAAAGTAGCTTACGAATTAAAACATAATAGAAAATTCTGTTGTTGTTTTTAGCACCCGGTCCTTAGATTTAGAAAGGAAAAAAAAAAAGAGACTGTCCAGGAGTAGATAAAAGACTGCTTTCTTGTTCCTCCCAGACCATCCCCTCAAAGCAGAAATAAACCTGACTCTAACAAAAGTGATGGGAAGGGAGCTGTGGGAGAAAAGTAGTGAGAGAGTGGAGAAAAGAGGACTCTCTTGCCCATTAAGGATGGGGGAGAAGTTTCATTCAGTTGCATTTAAAGGTGAACCTACCTAATTCTCACACCTTGAAACAATATGCAAACTGAAACACAGCCAGCTTTTGAAATTTGAACTCCTCCGAATTCTGCAGTGCAGTTCTCCCGCCATGCAGTGTGTACAAATAATGCACATAATAGGGCAAAGCGTGCATTAAAATGCATATATTCATGAGGATAACTTGCAGAAATGCATTATATTGGAGAAAATTGCTTTGCAAAAATGTGCATTTTGTGTGGCTTTTTTTTCTAAATGTACATGTGTAGTTTATACATGTACATTTAGAAAAAAAAGCCACACAAAATGCTGGTGAATTTTTAGGAGGTTTTTTTAATTAAAAAAATTGCATACCAACGTGGAAATGCGGAGATCTGAAAAATGAAAAACTGAAATGGACAGATTTGCCCATCCCTATTGCCCACATACCTATTTGCTGCTTCAAACCGCGCTACCTCTCATCCTGCTTTATATGGGATTGAGGCAGAGGTGCATTTAAAGGCCATCATTGTGTGTAGTTTTGCCTGCCCTAATGCTAACTAGAGTTAAAACACTAACCAGGATTTGAAACCAGGGTTAAGAAGGACTCCAGTCAATGTTAACCATGGTTATCTTTGGGAGACCTGGAAATAGATTAGCATTAAAACTTCTGTTCTGAATGGCTTCACAGAAGAATGTGACTACTATGCAGAAGGTAAGTTTCAAAATAATGTAAATCTGCTATAAGTCAGATTCATACAGCCCTTCCCCCAAATGAGGGTGTGTGTGTGTGTGTACTTTGCTGGGCGATTTTGAGAAGCCATTAGATTTAGAAGGGGGGGCGGGGGAACTACTGAAAATCAAAACTTTTCCAAGGGTAAAAACAGAATAAAAACAAAGTTAAAATCTGAGATATTCCTGAACATAGTGAACAGTGGAAGAGAATAGCTCCCTAATTATTGTAGATCTTCCTAAACAAAAACAATTGCACATCTTCCTTCATCCCCGCCATCTAATTTTGTTAACTTCATTAGTACTACAGGTACATGAGAGAGAATCGCATCCCATAATGCAGGAGGACTATGTCTACTGCACAGCAGGGGGAGGCTCAAAGAGCATGCTCTTGTCAGTGCTGGAAGATGGCAGCTACAAAACAGGCTAATTAGGACTAGGTAATATTGCGGGGCACAAATAAGGTTACTCAGATCAGGTGAGATAGCGGCTTGGCAGCTCAGCTGACAATCTGTAATGATAGCTACAAACTCATTAGCTGGCCTTAGAGCAGGCATGGCCCTCCAGCTTTTTGGGACTAGAACTCCCATCATCCCTAGCTAACAGGACCAGTGGTCAGGGATGATGGGAACTGTAGTCCCAAAACAGCTGGAGGGCCAAGTTTGGCCATGCCTGCCTTAGAGGAAAGTTCTGGTGGGTTTTTTTTTAGCATCAGTACCACCTCTGTCAAATGTAGAACTGGATCGGTGCCGCGGCACTGGGGAGGTTCTACTCCCCACCCCCAGTTCCCTTTCCTTAGCATCACTTGTATGCTTTCCTTTAAAGTTGTTAGCCACTAAGTTGTGGGGCAGGAGTGTGGGGAAGGAGGCATCTGTATTGCACTTGCTTTTTCTGCTCTTAGCCACTTTTGGAGGGGGGAGGGGGAAGGTTGACTTAAGCCCAAAAAAGATCGGACACTGATCTGTATAAAACTGGCGTATGCTGATGTAAATCTACATATGCATGTTTACACATGATTACTATAATTTAAATAGGGATGCGGTACGTCTCAGCATAGCAGGGAAGACCATGGCCAGGTCGCTTGTGAATGAATCCCTGTGGCCCAGATGTTATTGATGGGGAACTTCAGGACCCCTGCTGTTCTCCCTTCTTTGGGCTCCTTTTTAAACAGCCCTTCAGATAGAGGCCATCTTCAAACAGAGGGCTGTTCCCTGTACAGTGGTGCCCCGCAAGACGAATGCCTCGCAAGACGGAAAACCCGCTAGACGAAAGGGTTTTCCGTTTTCAATGCGCTTCGCAGGACGAATTTCCCTATGGGCTTGCTTCGCAAGACGAAAATGTCTTGCGAGTCTTGAGATTTTTTTTTCGCTTCCCCCCCCTTTTTCTAAGCCGCTAAGCCTTTAATAGCCTTTTAGCAGCTAATCCGCTAAGCCGCTAAGCCTTTAATAGCCGCTAATCCGCTAAGCCGCTAATAGGGTTGCTTCGCAAGACGAAAAAACCGCTAGACGAAGATACTCGCGGAACGGATTAATTTCGTCTTGCGAGGCACCACTGTACAGCAAACAGAGCACTGCCTTCTTACTTGATTTCCATCAAGGAAATAGTGTGTATACGATACGATATCTTTATATACGATATCTTTATTGTCATTGTCCCATACAGAACAATGAAATTGAAAAACTAAATAAAACATTCAAAAGCCCCTAGAAACTCTGGTATGAGGGATGTGTCGATGCGAAAGGTAAGCCTACCATTTCCCAGAATCATGGCCCTGATCCAATTCCACCCAACCCACCTGCAGGCACTTTTAGGCAATTATTATTTTTTATTAAAAAAAAACATAATCAGGAGATTTGATGACATAGCTTTCCCACATAATATTTAGTTTGGTCCTGAGACTCCTGCAATCCTGAATGAAGTGGGGTGCATGTTGCAGAAAAGCAAGCGTCTGATTGTGCTGCAGGAATCCAGAGACTTTTCTTCTTATTATTATTATTATGAGAAGGAAGGTGCTGGTGTTTCCTGTGCATGAAAATAGCGTTCCTCCGTGAAATGGGAAGTAAATGTCCATGCTGCTGAGTTGGTAAAGTCATTAATGTTCATCATTTGACAGCTGAACACAGTGCAGAGCTCAGCGACTTGGAGGGCATATAATAGGGAGTATAAGATCGCACATATGGGCTCTGTAGATAATCCTGGTGAGATGCAATATGGCATCTCCTACGCTGGTCCCTGGCTCATTTATAACACACAGCATCTGAAATCACATCTCCCACCACCTCCCCATGTGCATGTGTGTGCGTGTGTTTGTTTTACACAGAAAAGCTCAGTGTGTTTGACAGATGATGACCATGATTCGTTTTTTTCAGAAACCAAAGTGTAGGTTTTAATGGTTTTAATGCATGTGTTTCTATTAAATTCATTTTAAACCAGGTGATTATTTTTTAAATGCGAAACCGGATTTTTTTTAAGGATCAAAAGGGGGAGGGGAATCACTTGTTTCTTTAATAATTTATTTTTATGTGCCAACATGCCAGTTCAGAAAACAGTACCAGAAACCTCACTGTCACAAGTATAATACAATATGGATCAGCCTCCCTTACCTGGTGCCCTCTGAATATTTTGGATTATACCTGGGAAGCTGATGAGAGTTGCAGTCCTAAATATTTAGAGTGTACCAGGTTAGGGAAAGCTGATACAGGTTATATAAATGTCAATGATTATGTTAGGCCAGTTCATTTCAGTAAATTACCCTGCAGTAATTCCCTTCATGGGCTTAACCCCCCCCCTCAGAGTCAATTGGAAATGCCCAAGTAAAATTCATTGACAGCTGTTTAAGATCCTTCGCATTTCTTGGCTTGCTGTCATAAGTAACATCCATTTGCCTGGCTAAGTGGCAGTACCCTAAACTAGTACTGTATATACAGATGAGTTTGGATGGAAACATAATTGAGTTATCATCTCACACTGGGCTTTTAATCACATTTATGTCACTCTAATAGCAATTTCGATTCTTTCACCAGGATAACCGATCAGTTTTGTATCTCCTCCCCCCTTTTTCTTTTAAAGACAAAAACTACCAGAGATATAGTAATATAAATGTGTGTGCTGACACTGTCGTGCTATTTAAATATTTCCGTGTTGAGTCTATTGCAAGCAGATCTGAATGTATGACTTGACACTAATGCGCCAGTCTCTGTCAAGCTATCACCCAAAAGCTTAGCAGATGGAATGCCAGAATATGACAGCACTTGCTAAGATAAGGCCTGCCTGGAATTAAGCCACAGGTAGAAGAACAAACATAGACGCAGCAGCCCTAATGACCAGAGGAAAGCAGAGCATTCAGTCAAATTAACAGCTTTGCATACATGCATTGACAATGAACGCAGAATACAAAAGCAAATTGCACACTGTCCCCAGATAACTACTGTCAATATAGAGAATCACTTCTGATGGAAAACAAAGAGTAACAGAAACTTGTGGAAGCTAAAATCCAAGCATCAATATTTGCTGATTTAGGAATGGAGACTGCGAGAATCTAATCCCCCGTCTTTTCTCTAAGAAAACTTGCGGAAGGAGATGCAAGGAATTTGGAAGCATTAGCATACCCGCCATGTGTCCCAGGGAAAAATGGGAAAACCTGTTTTTTTGTGTGAGATTGTGGTGGCCATTTTTGGTCCTGCGATCTCTTGTGCCATGATCTTACCCCCCAAAAAGCACTTTTTGGGGGGACAAGATTGCAATGCGGCTCACACGCCCGAGAGTGTGTCCTGAAAGATGCACGTCCCATTTTTTTATCTGAAATAGTTGGATGGTATGCATTAGTGCTGTAGTAAAGCACCAACCCTGTGCTATAGTAACTTCCTCTAATCCTACTCCAACAGGGAAGCAATGGCTTTGAATCTGGGACCTGAACAATGGTCTTATTATATCAAATCTGACATGAGGATACATTTTGGCCTTGGGCAATCACTGTCTCTAGGCCTCAGTTCCTCATTTCTTAAATGGGAACCATAAAAAGACTGCCTCTGTTATGAAAGCTAAATACAGCGAATCACCTCACAATTAAAATAACAGTGGAAATTATAGTAGTAGTAGTAGTTGGAGGTCTTCCGATCAGCAGGAAGTCTTATAGATGGTCCAAAATATCTTCTAGCCTGTAGACAAGGCTAGAAACAGAGGGAGAAGTTGGCTAAAGAGGAGAAGACCTCTGGAACACAGTTCTTTAATAAAACTATTCGTTGTTCAACTCCTCTGACCTGTTTAGGTCTGCTGCCAGCACATCATGATGTTGTGTGTTTCCCAGCCCTTGGCAGAGGCAACCAATGGTGTATAGAGGGAGGGAACACCTAACATGATGATGTTATGCCATGTGAAAACAGGAAACTCAACACAGGGTTGCAGTTTTCAGTGGCAGCCCAGTTTGGGGTATAATCTAGCCTCCCAAGTGAAACATCCATAAATCTACCCTTACCTGTTGGGCATGTGCATGAAGATTCTTCGTTTGCTTCGCACCCTGTCTTTTTGCAAATGGATTCCCAGTTTCAGTAAGTCTCTTCCCTGGTACTTAGCTTAGTTCATTCAGCTGATGTGCT